TGAGCAACATCAAACACTAGCACGCCTCTCTGGAGTAAGCAATGGAAGAAACAAATGATTAGTAGCTAGAAACACCAAACAGGAACAAAGAAAGAAGAAAACTAGCATACTTTAGGAATGTGCTTGTGTAAAGGTTTTGCTGGTGTTGCTGCATCACAAAAAGGGTCAAAAGCAAGAATATTATTATTATTATTTTTTAAAACTGAAATCCTTTATTTGAAAAGTAACTCAGTCTCAGACGATGTATACATACCAGCCGTATGAGATGATTGCCCAGGTACATAAGCATTTGCTGTTTCACAAAGAAGGCAGACCATAAATGTTACAATAGAACCTGCAAACGAAACCCCAAACAAAAATTTTCTTTTGAAAACATAGAAATTTTACCTCCCGTGAAAGGATCACGAAAAGATGGATTGAAGTTGAAGTCTTTCTGCCCAGAGTTCTGTAATATAAAATCAACAATCTGCTGCCGGTATGCGACGGGAAGGTTCTCTTTTAGAAGCCACTTGTCAGCTGCATCATAAGGATTGTCTGCCAAACAAGAAACCATTGTGTTTAAATAAATTGAGGCACTTGCTTGTAGTTTCTTTTGAAATCAAGACAAGGTCACCAACACAATTCAGGTACCTGAGCGATTGTAAGGAAGCTTCCGGATAGGCTCCCCATCACCAATGTCAACATCGAAAACTAGAAGAAAAAGAACCACCGATAAGAACCACTTTGATATCAAATGATTCTGAAGTTTCTATAATAAGTTTAAAATCTAACCAAAATCATACTGAGCTCCATCGAGGATAGGACGGTCACCCGCACCATCTGGGCCATCAACAACCTCACCGATCTGAAAAAAGTTGATAACAAAGCAGCATTGAAGTCAAGAGCAAAATGGCATGCAGTTAAGAAATATAAAAGCACACAATGTTGACTCACTTTGTCCCATCTCTGTTCGTTCATATTCCATGCATAAGCAACACCATTGTCTCCCTCCCTTACGACTTTTGTTTGGCCATCACTGGTACCTGATAGCACACACCAAATAGTATACGATGTTACTAGAATAACCATAGGCAGAAAGGATCAGTTACAGCTTTCTACCGGATGATTCAAGAGTCTGAAAATACAAAATTTGAATAAAAAGTGGCACCTGGTACCGTCAGAGATTCAAGCCCGGGCAGCTCATCAAGTCTCATTCCACCAACCTTTTTCCTGAGATTAAGGACATAAAGGACACAAAATCATTACACTGTCAGGAACAATATTCTATGGACACATAAATTCAATGATCACATTACCTGCTCAATTTATACTGAGAAAGTTGGGAATCATAGGCATCAATTTCCATTTGATCAGCAATCATGCCATCACGTACTGTCCAGACACGAGCCACACCATCTGAACATGCAGTCACAATGTCTCCGCTCTCCAAGAACTTGGCATCCCAGACACAACCTGGGTGTTCCAAACTCTGAACGCAGACTCCATCTGTACCAAACAAAAGCAACAAGTAAAAAGAACATATCAATCTATAAGAAACATGACTTCAGATAAGGGGAAAAGACAGACAAAAGGATAACCATCATTACCTTTCCATATCTTCGCATGGCGATCTTCACTCCCACTAACGATAAGGCCAGATGCATGTGCGTCAACTGAGTAAACAATGGATGTGTGACCAACCATCTCCAAAAGGACTTCGCCACTTAGAGCCCACAACCTGATGGAACTGTTTGGATAAACAAGAGATTTTGATTAAGAACAGAGGGATGAGGTCATCGATGAGCGTGATTAACTGAAAAAAAAATAGCATGCAATAAGGCAAGGGGTTGTTGGAAGCAAAGAACTGACCCATCGTGTGATGCTGATAGAAATCCTAAATCCGGCATCACAGCTAACCCTCTAACCGTATCTGCAAAACCAAAAAGTATTTATGTCAGACATTAGTGTCTCCAGCGAAAAGAAAATCCATCAAAACAGGTTAGTGTCTTGGCACAAGACAAATATCTTACTGCATCTTCTCAAAGTGAAAAAGAAATTAGAGAGGAAAGAAAGCATGAGAGAAACGAAGGCACAAAGAAAATCACCTGCATGCCCTGTAAAAGTTCGTAGACTTGTTTTCCCCTTCCATAGTTTGAGAGTGGTGTCACTAGAACCTGAGATGAGCTCACCAGACGGTAGCTTTAGGACTGCCTGGACAGGCGACTGGTGTGCCTCCCAAGAGTCAACAAGCTGGCCGTTTCTCCATCGTTTTAGAGTTCTTCGGAGCAAGAAAAGAGAGTAATCAAATGAGAACTTATATTACACCAGCGTAACACGACACAAACAGTAGAGAGTAACCCAATATTTGAGAAAACTCTAAACCCATGCCATGTATTACTAAAGCTAGCAAGCTACATCAACACAATAACACCCACAATTTAACACTCGTAACACCCTCAGAACTACGCGTCAAGGATAGTATAAAAACGAGGCATGACTGAATCGTATGTAAGTATCAAACTAAGATAATTAAGCGAACAAGAGGATTTGGATGACTTACTGATCAACAGAGGATGAAACAATGTCGTCATCATCAATAGTAACACCAGTGACCTGCATCTTATGACCCTTCAACGACTGAACAACCTCTCCATTAACCAAGTTCCAAACCAAAACGGAAGTATCCATGCTCCCAGAAACGAGCCTTCCTTCAGGATACTCCTCGTTCGGCGAGATCCACGCAAGTGGCCCAACGAAGCTTGTATGCCCCAGTAGAATCTTGGAAGCTAAGTACTTCCTTTTATCATCAGAACCAAGTGACCACACCCTAATGGTTCTATCCCTCGATGAGGTAGCTATGTTCTCATCAGTGCAAACACATATTCCACGAACCTGATACAATCACAATTACAGTTTGTTCAATTCATTAGCATTTAGGTCAAATTACATTACTAAGCAGAGCTAATCAACGCTAATTATCAAATCGGCAGATGAAATTGAAGCTAAACCCTAACCGAGAAATCACATTCAAGTGGATGATCTTAGAATCGATCACGAAAACGAGAAACATACGGCAAAGTAAAGGAGGAAGAGGATTGGGGGGGAGAGAGATCTTACATCGTCGTCGTGGCCATGGAGCTCGCATCGGAGTTTGTATTCTTTGAAATCGATATCCATCATGACTGAGAGAAGGAGAGAGAGAGAGACTAAACGACTCAAAGTGACTTGCGGGAGGAGGAAAACTGAGGGAGAAGGAGAGGTATCTTAATCGCTGCTTATTAATATTTTTTGTTCGTCTCAAACCGAATTAAACCGTTTTGATTTTTATCCGGTTTTGTTATTTAACTTATTTTTTAGTATTTATTTAGTAACTAAACCTTAGAGCATCCGCATTGAAGGTTCGTGGGCCAAGAAAAAAAAATATGTTGATTTTGGTGAACCCGAGTCGTGGAGGTTCGTCGAGATGAACCTGGTTCACACGGGATTCGCCACGTGACGTTCTGGTCCGTTATTAATTTTTTTATTTTTTTTAGAAAAACTAAACTAAAAAAAAAAATTAATTTTTTTTCTATGATGCTCTTATGGAAGTTTTTTATTTTTTTTTATGACGTACTAAATAATATGGAAGTTATCATATTAACCCCTTTAGGATTTCTCAGCTTCTTCAGGTTTTTTCTATTAAATTTGAAGACATTTGTTTACATCTTTTCGTTGATTAATATGTATTCAATCTGTTTAATAATATAAGTAGTTTTACTTGTATTTTTTGTTTAAAAATATAAGTTGATTTTCATATCTCATTGCAACTTTTTACTTGTTGAATATTGTGTGACTAAGAAAAGGAAATTAACGCTTGGTTATTAAACAAATTTGCTCAGTGACTTAGTTCTACTTCTGTGGCCATATCCCTAACGAATGAACAGAAAGAGAGTACTACAACACGAAGAAGTATCTGCAAAATTGCTTGGCAGTAATTGTCTTCACGACCATCTGTACACATCATCTCACCTTCTTTTCCTTGATGATCTGGTTCAAGATCTATGTCACCTTGGCTTGTGCTTACTTGACCTCTGCTACAAATTTCAATCTTCGTTCTGTTCCACTCGTGGGGACTACAAAAACAAAAAAAAACAAAAAACAAAAAGCTTTCAAATTAGTAAACAAATAGCCTTTCAATGTTTTTCATTTTGCATGATGGAATGTTCTTCTCTTACTATCATATTTTGAGATCAAGACTCAAATCTTATGAAATGTGAGTTCAAACTGCAATAAATGATGAACTATCTCTTACAAGTCTTCATACATTCATCTACACATGTTAGCTCATAGCTTGGCAACACGAAATACAACCATAAACAGACATTTGGCTCTACACAACTCACAGAGCCACTACAGTTTTGCCAAAAACATGACAATAGATCGATCATTCTCATTAATAAAATGTCAAACTGGGATAATACTTCCCAGAAATATCAAAACTAAAAGAAGTTGCATACTGTATTTACTTGGTTTTACACTTGAAGGAAATTAAATTTGAACCCCAAATAAAGTTTGAACCGACCAAAGAATGCCCGTGACAAGTTAGCACATTGGAACAAAAGTAATACCAATGTCTCACGGGTGTTCTTACTTTATATTTTGTTAAAGTATCATAAGAAAACAAAAGAAAATAGATTATATTACATGTGTATATTATAGACCCTATTCGACATTATACATGCTCTTCAATGAATATGGATACTGAATAATATACACAGGAGATTAGTTATGAGGTTAGTCACAAGATTATTGTCTTATATGATGCCAGGGACCCATGTTTTCATGTTAATATCATAATTTGTAAATATTTAAAATAAAATAAAAATCATAATTTGTAAATATTGTCTCACCAGTACGTGCCTATAATCTCTATATAAACCATATGAAGCAGGTAGCCTAGCCTATCCTAAGTTAAGAGAAGAGCAAACCATTTAACAGTTTCAAAACAATTAGTGAAAAACTCTCTCAAAGTACACAAAGCCATGGAGCCAAACACTAAGCTTGTCTTTATTACCTTGGTTTTAGCCTTGACACTCACGGCAGCAACCGGAGAGTTATGCGGTATGAGCGTTGCTGATCTGTACTCTTGCAAGCCCTATGTGCAGACTAAGAACCCATTGACCACCCCCATTGATCCAAAGGGCTCTTGCTGCACTGCCCTGGCCAAAGCCGACGTCCAGTGTCTTTGCAAGCAGAAAACCAAAACCAATCCTTTTCTCAGTGGAATCAACTTAGACCTCGCTTCTAAACTCCCGGAGAAGTGTGGTTTATCTAAGGCAACTTGCTAAGGCAGATTTTCTTTTGGAAGGTTTCGCTTTGTGTCTTGATTTTCTTCATGAGTCCACTGTTCTCGTATCTGTTGCTGTTGTTATTCTGTGTTGGCTTGATGTTGTGTCAGTTGTTGTTGTTGTCTTAACTGCATTGTATTGGTGTTTCTTGATTTCTTCAAAATAATAAAACCAAAACTATATATTAGTAAGAATGAGGAAACATGATTTCCATTGGTACTCACATGACCCATATCGTCTGGTTGAGCTAAGTTAGAGTTCAGATGCAAGTAAAACAGAATGTCGACACCCAAAAAAGTGATGAACAACAATCACTGAGGATAAGAACATTAAGAAAGCTAACTGTGAAATGGAATATAAGTACCAAAAACCAGTGAAACCACACATAGACAGAGGTCCTCTGAGTAAATTCTATAATGATAGTAAAGAAAGTTGATACCTCTCTCTTCATGATTTTAGTCAAATCTTTGGTCACAAAATGTAACATAGAGAATATATATATAGCTTCTGTTTTGGAATGTGAAACATATGAAGTTGATTATCTTATCCATTGAAATGTTTGTTCTCAAGCTGTGGTCGTCAATCTCCTTCCCTAGTTCCATAGAAGCTTGTAAGAATCAGTACTTTTGGTCTCCTTGCCTATAAACTAACGTGCAAGTTCAAGCACAGAATCAGATTTCTGTAAAAATTCAGATATCCTGAGAACATGGCAGTCCACACCACTAGATTCTTCTCAGATAAAGAATCAAATAACCTTGAAGATGAGTTAACACACAATCATCGAAGAAGTTGAATACAAGTTGGCAAAACCATATAACAAATTCATATCTCCACACCTACAGTAAACATCAACAACACCACTGCTTAAATATTTATTAGAATATGACCCCATTCTTCAATACCCGAGAGCATGTACTTCCTTTCCATATTAGTTGTGCTTTAAACAAAAAAGTCTATATATGATGTCAAGAAAAAAGAGTCTATATATTAAGATTATTTGTTCAACTGACACATATTTCGGTAGGAAGTCTACAATAGTCATGAAATCTATCGGCTGCCACTCAAATCGGTTACAGTTTACACAAGCAATATACATGAATTACCTGTAGCCACTTAGACTACAATCATCTGTTCACAATGATGACTGCCAAGCAAACATGCATACACATGATTAACTGATTGGTGTCATCTCGAATCTCACCAAAAAAGTATATGTAATAACCTTAAATATGTTTTTCTACAATATATTAAACAATACCACAACTAACTTTAACTGGTCCACAAATCTACCCATATCTAGTTTAGGACCTTTCCACGTCCATCACATTGCAAATGCTTGCTTATGTAATGATAATGTTAATTTGGACAAAAGGAACTTCGCATTATATATATTTACGTTAAACAAAAAAATAATTCATGTGTAAATATATATGAAGAAGAGGATTTTTACATATATATGTCCACGTTGCCCTTAGATTTTCATAATTCATATATTTTTATGTAAAATCAATATCGATGAAGAGGATAGATATATAACCTTTTTCTTATCAATCGCTTTTGATTCGAGAGACGTTGCCTTGTCTACTTACAGCGTGATGATTTTGTCCCTCTTTATTCTACCAAAAACCATCGGATCAATGTATTTTCTCATCGTAATCTTAGAATATGCTAAAGCTTGAGTATATACTTGATCATTTATGCACGTTAAATATATGATTGGAGACTGGTGGTTTCATAAAGTATATAAAGGAAGATTGTTGATTACTTAAAAGGACTAAGTTTTTTTTTTTTTTTTGTCACCAACTTAAAAGGACTAAGTAAATAATAAAAAGCACGCATTTGTAAGAAAATAGTATCAGCCATAATGTAACTACTTACATATTTAAATAGTAAGAAAATCTAACTAGTATGCCATCTGACAAAACTATATTACATTCTATTCAGCCACTAAATCATTTGTATCATACCGTAAAAGAAAACTTATCACTTATCAAAACCATTAACACATCAAAACAACTTATGAAGAAAAACAGAACAAACACGGGGGGAAAAGAAAGTCTTAGACTATTGATTTTAGTTTGAAGTCAATATATACCACAATAGAGTAATTTTCATAATAGGGCAGTTTTGAGTTTTTATTAACAAGATAAGGCAGTTCTTATTCTTAGGGTACTTATTTGGTGAAAGACTCAATTTACCCTTTAAAAAGTGTAACCATAAACATTTTATTTAATTAGGAACATTATATATTTTTTATTTATTTTGTGTTTGAAGGGTTCTGGTTTCCTCGAGGAGGAAATAGAAAAGGAAAGCTTCTTCACTTTTTGGTTTTGTACGACGGAGTAAAGAACGTAATAGGAGGGTTGCGAGAGAGACTATTTTTTTTTCTGTTTATTTTTCTTAGTTTTGGATTCTAATTGATTAACCCATATAATATTTATAAGTTCTACAGGTAAAAGGTAAATGAAGCTTGCTTGATAAAAATCAATGGTGCCTGTGAGTTATAGAAAACACAGAAAGTCTTTATAGGAAGAAGATGAAATAATTACAAAATTGCCATTCAATAAAAAGAAAATTAATTGGATGGCCACGTGGCTGTGTACATAATGTTAGTGTACACATATTCGTGTACACGAGTACATTGGATAACCACGTGGATGTGTACATAATGTTAGTGTATGTATGAACCAAAGTCATGTAGATTCATACGTTCGAAGACAATTCCAAATTCACAAATGCATTAGATGATCATGTCTATGTGTACATTAAGTTAGTGTACACATGTTCGTGTACACGAATACATTGGATGACCACGAGGACGTGTACATAATGTTAATGTACGCATGTACATGTTACAGAGATAGATTTGTCTTTGTATGTATAGATAGGGGAGCGTGGTTTACGTGTATTAAACAACATGATTATATATGTACATGTGTACATGATTACATGTGTACAAACAAAACATGTGTACCTTTTTTCATATACATATACATGAAACATGTAAGTTTTCCAATCTAGAATAATATCAGTTTACCAATAAATATGTACATATACATGATTGAGCCTGGTTCAACTTAAAGTGCTATCAATGTGTACACATAATGTATTATACACTTGTACAAAAGTTCATATTTACACCTGTCAATTTCGTATATAAAAAAATTGATAAGAAAACAAGTGATTCGTAAACCTTTGTCTTTCTTTCCTCCATGAGCGCCTGAAATCGCCACAGGTCTCCTATTCAACCTGACTTAAGCTATCCACCACCGAATAACAATTCACCACTGTACACAAATGTTTTATTACACACATATACAATAATTCACATCTACACAGGTTAATTGTACAATAATACATGAACGTCATATAATTTTCACTATCTTCATATATGTTGTATACATGAAACATGTAGGTTTCCCGAGTTAGAGTAGTACTAGTTTACCAAGAAATATGTACATATACATGATTGAGTTGGGTTTAATAGGAGATCCATGTATATGTACATAGTGTACACATATGAAGAGTGTTCATTGTTTTAATAATAAAGAGTGTACACATGTACACATTTACATGTACATAGTGTACACTTTCAGGATAATAGCAGTTTAATCTCTTGAATTGAAAAGATTTATGAAAAAAAAAAACAGAAACGTGAAGGAAGAATATGACAACTATGGCACAGAGAAAACACACATATTGATAGGAATTAGATGGATCGAAAGAAGAACACAAGAAAAATATTTTTTTTTTGTTTGGTGAGAGAATGCTTTAGAACCACTTGTGTACATTGTATATCATTAAAGAAATGTACCGTACACATGGGAAGATGTATACATACACACATATAAATGTACACATGTAAATTTTTTCTGTTTGCTTTAATAATAAATGGTGTACACATGTGACCGATTGTACATTGTTTTAATAATAAAAAATGTACACATACACAGATGTAAACATATACACATGTAATTGTACACATGTACACATATAATTGTACACGTTTTTTTATAAAATGTGGCAATTTTGTAATTAATCATCTTTTTCTATTAGGGTTTTCTGCGTTTCTACAGCTAAATCTCAAAGCCGTCTTTGATTTTTTTCATTCAGTCTTCATTTTTTGTGTGTTTTTACTCTGTAACTTGTTGTAATTAACTAATTAAATCCAAGAATCCAAGTGAAAATAAGTTTACTCTTAATTATCAAAAAAACTAAGTGACGTTTCTTTTTCTTCTTCCTCTTAATTCATTGACGATGGCTAAATTTTGAGGTGACTGAAACCAATCTGGTTGTAGCTTCTAAAACCAGAGATGAGATTGGACCGCTACAACATCTTCACCACGAGAATGAATACTGGTCTGAACCATAGGAAAAGACCAAACTAAAGAGGTGACTGTTGAGTGAAGGAGAAGTGAAGACTATAGACGAAGCCGAAAACGCAGCGACAGATGAATCTTTGAATATGGAATAGATCTGAATCGCTTTTCTTTTTCCAACGGTGTAATAAAGAGTAAAAAGTAAAGAATAAAAAGAGATAGAATAGAAAGAGAAAGAATGAAGGGCTGTAGTTAACTAACGAAAAAGAAAAGTAGAGATAATATTTAGTTAACTTATTTAGTTAGTTTACAAATAGAAAGTAGAACTGGTTAAAAGAAACTACCCTAGTAGAAAGAACTGCCTTATAATGTAAAAACAAACTTAAAACTGTCCTATGATGATATATTTTCTACCACAATAAGCACTATTTATGAATTCGTAGTATGTTTAAAGTGATTGTAACATTTGTTTTGTTTTGATTTATGTCGTGGCCCAACGAATCTCCTAATGTCGTGGGCGTGGCTGATTGCCGATGTCAACGTGACACCATTTGCTTTATTAGATGTCAACAATTTCTCCTTTTATTCGCGTTTCAAGAAAACATATAAAGGTATGTAATTTACGAGTATATCATTTTTTGAAATCTTGAACCATAATGAAACAAACTAATTGCAAATTTGTAAGATATAATGTGTTGTTATTATCTTTTGTTAATATTGCAGGATGTCTGCTCTCGACTAGTTACATCATACCATGATACTGTTATGTATGTAGCAAATTCTTAAAATATCTTATAAATTGTATTATTGCTGGAGCATTAAGCTGTCAGGAACTCGTATTCACGTATAGATACAGCTGGGGAATCCA